GATCTGGAGGGCACATTTTGTGAACAAAAGCAGTTTTATATACAGAGTATATGTGAGTGCATTACTTTTATTAATAAAATGGTTTTTAAAGGATAATGCACTATGATTTGATTCATTCCTCTATATTAACCACCATGGAAGGGAAGATTATCATTTGAGTGGAGAAGGACCCCAAACACCAGGATATCATCTGATCCATACTCTGGCCCATTTAAAGGGACACAAGCGTTATATGACCTTACTTAATGGTTTGGTCGTATACTTGAGGTGAGAGCTTAACCAGTGGAGAAGCACGTCTATGCAAGTTTTTTTTTCACAAAATATTTTATTTCAGAAGCACGGGTTATTATATTTTAAAGTGACCTATGCATGTTTGAAGAAATCTCACATATGGACTTTTTTTTGATAATTATATGGACACTGTTATTGGAAATTGACAAATTTATTATTTTTGTTTATCTTTTCAAATTTCATATAATTGTTTATTGTGTTATGCAATATAAGTATAATTTCCAGTGAAGAGCGGCACATTGTGGTATATATTACAGCAGTTTTGTCCTTTTGGGAAATTGTTAATTATAAAAAAAAAGAATTGGTAAGCTGCAATATAATAAATGTTGTCTTTTGGGTCTAATGCCACTTTAAATAAATCATAAATGTTTTTGATTAAAAGAAAATGTATATTTAAATCGCTCAAGCCTGAGTACCAAAAGCTTTATTATATCAATAATTTGCTGCTTATCCAGAATGCTGGTATTATTCTTTGTTGTTGCTATTTTTTTTTTTTTTTATTAGTGGTTGCGAACATTAAACAAAATTCATTATTTATTTAATGTGCTTGCTTAATATCTATACAAAAGGTACCTCAGCACTTTGGATGTTGTGAATTCATAAGCAAATGACCTGGCAACTGAAAGAGCTTTTAAACCAATATGCCCTGATTCATCAAGCTGCAGTAGCACTTGACGCATGCTAACGTGACCTCCCAGTCAGTAATGTGCATGCCTTAAGTGCTATTGCAGCTACATGAATTGAGTCCAAGCATTTTTTTTGTTTATTGTATATAAGTACTGGAATAATGACTGCACACAGAAGCACTGCTTAAATCTACAGCACCAACTGGAAAATCTGAGCAGCGATTGTTCATATACCATACAAAAGGAGCCTTGAGGCTGATTTTCAATAAATTAAGTTATAGTGTCTTTAAGAAAATAAAAAAATCCCATAAAGCCAAGAGATTCTGTAAGATCAGATAACAAAATGGGAAGTGATGGAAGAGAAATGCTACTTTATTTTGTATGAAATGTAACAACTGGTAAACAAAGTGCAGTACACTCTCAGCACTTTCTGCTCTTATGTCCAAAGGCGGTCATAGATAGTAGGAGGCATTCATACAGTATGTTCATATACAGACAGCATGTAAAGCACTCGGGGAAGGGTTACAACATCATTCAGGTTTTTGTTGCTGTGTTCCTTTTGGTGAGATTTCTTTTCCATTTCTGATCTTCTACAGCTTCTCTTCAGCCACTTCTGGCAGCTTCTGTGTGCCAACATCCTGTCTAAAAGCATGTACTACTCTTAAGCCTAGTACACACTATCATAAAATCATGCAAAAAATTTTGAATCTGATCATTAGTACCCAGCATTCATTTAAAAGTATTCGAAATGCAATGGGACAAGCACAAAAATGTTTCTCTAACGATGCCAGATTGTACGATTTTGGTTTTAAAACACTTTACAACTGCGCTATAGCCAAATGACGTCTACTGCACGGTTGTCCAGTTCTGGGAGGGTGTCATATGGCTTCCTTCCAGAATGTGCCCCCAGCGGTGCGCACCCAGCACTGTCTGTGATCGTGTGTCCTACGGACACAGGTGATCACATGACAAGGTAAAAGTATCCTTCTACCACGTGATCAGCTGTTGACACCGCTGATCACAAAGTAAATACAGTTGCCGGTTATCATCAGCACTTTTCCTTACGCTGTCATAGAATTAGGAAAGTACTGCCGATAACCGACAAGTGTCACAGAAGACAGACATCTACACTGATATTCAGGGCACTGATTATCAGTGCCCCCTCAAAAGTGCCCAGCAATGGTGCCCATCAGTGCCACCCATTAGTGCTGTCAGTGCCGCGCGCCTACCTGCACTGTCATTGGTTCCCTACACAGCAATTCATGGCCGGGACCTGGGGATTGGTGGATGTAAACAACACAGATCTCGCTCTTGTCAGTGGGGATGTTCCGGTTTTTATCTCCCTGAAAATCATGGAATAAAAACCAGCGCCTCCCCTAGTAAAACACCACACAGTACACACATAACACTCTCTGGCACACAGTTAACTCTTGATCGTCCCAGAAGTTGACCCCTTCCTGCCCAGTGTCATTAGTACAGTGATAGTGCTTATTATTAGCACTGATCACTGTATTAGTGTCACTGGAGATGTCAGTGGCAGTTAATGTCAGAATACCCGCCGTACTATCACAGACAGACTGACCATTTGGAAACTCGGGCACTGCCCGGGGTCAGTAGGGGGCCCCATGAAATGCCCCTGGTACCTTTTTCTTAGGCTTTTTTGAGTTTGGGCAAGGACACAGGGGCCCCATGATCCCCTATTGCCTGGGGGCCCCATGAGTTGTCAGTCTGCCCCTGATCACAGTCCTGCTATAACTTGTTGATCACTGCCATTACTAGTATAAAAAACATCCAGGAACTTTACCATTGTTTGTGTATGCTAGAATTTTCACGCAAACCAATTAATATACACTTATTGGGATTTGTTTTGACCAAAGACATGTAGCAGAATACATTTGGGCCTACATTTATGAACAAATTTTATTTTCTTAATTTTTTTTTTTACAGGATATGTGTTATAGCAAAAATGTTTATTTTTAATTTCTGTATTTTTATGTTTATAGTGCCAAAAATAAAAAAAACTCAGCAGTGATAAATACCACCAAAAGAAAGCTCTATTTGTGTGGAAAAAAATGATATAGATTTCATTTGTGTACAGTGTTGCATGACCGCGCAATTGTCAGTTAAATTACCGCTACACCGTATAGCACAAGGTGGCCTAGTCAGGAAGGGAGGTAAGTCTTTTGGAGGGCTAGTGGTTAAAGTGATACTAAAGGTGGATTCCAGGTATGATCATTTTACATATATATCGGTCCAGCCTGGACCAAAGTAATTATGTGCCAGACCTGTGGGATCTCTGTGGAATCTGGAAATGACTGCTACTACTCTGATCGCCAGTAGCTTCCAGGTCCTGTACTGAGCAGCTGCCCTTCTGTATAGTGAACACAGTAAGTTGTTCGGCATGGGCGCCATTTAGAGAACACTTTATAATTTCTCAGTTAATGTAAAGTGTTCTCTGATTGGAAAAGGTGGAGATCGTGATGTCAGCAACTTACCTCTCCACCTCATCCACCCAATAGAGAACAATTTGCATTCACTGAGAAAAAATGCAAAGTATTCCCTGAGTGACACCTGTGCAGACCATGTTACCTCCTGTTATGCAGCAGTGCAGCCTCAGCACAGTACCTGGAAGTCAGTGGAGATCACTATAGTAGTGGTGCTTGCTATAGTGATTTGATTTCCAGCTTCTAGAGGGATTCTATAGCTATGGTATATACATACTTACCTTGGTCCAAGCTGGATGTAAAAATTTGCTATATCTGGTATTCATTAATACCACTTTAATCATGCAGTGAGGCTGGCCATAAACATCCTGATCCTGCTGTTACACAACAGCCCCACGCAATGCTCATGTAGGAGCCAAGCCATTAAGGGTACCCCTAGGAGGTAACAATGAACTCATAATATTTCCTTTACCACACGCCTCCTCCCCTGACTTCTCTACCAAGATCAGTGGCACATGTCAGCCCATCCCTGCATTCCAGGGTGCTAGGTGTAATCCTGGACTCTGAACTCTCTTTTTTTATCCCCACATCCAATCACTGTCCAAATCTTGCCACCTCAACCTCTGCAACATCTCCAAAATGTGCCCCTTCCTAACCAATGACACCACAAAGCTTCTAATTCACTCCCTGGTCATCTCTCGCCTTAACTACTGCAACTTCCTCATTGGATTACCTTTACATAGGCTGTCCCCCCTCCATCATGAATGCTGCTGTCATCCACCTTACCAACTCTTCAGTTTCTGCTACCCCTCCCTGCCAGTCCCTCCATTGGCTTCCTCTCACCCAACAAATAAAATTCAAAATACAACATACAAAAGCCATCCAGAACTCTGGCCCCAGCTACATCAGTAATCCTGGTCTCAAAATATCATCAAAATCGTTCTCTTCATTCCTCCCAAAACCTGCTCTATAGCTCCCTTGTCACCTCCTCCCATGCTCACCTCCAGGACTTCTCCTGAGCCTCTCCCATCCTCTGGAACTCCTTACCCCTGTTTTCCTGACTATCTCCTGCTCTGTCCACTCTTAGGTGATCCATTAAACCATTCTGCTAAGAGAAGCCTACCCTGCCTCCACCCACCAATTGTACTTTTTTCCATCAGCTCATCCCCCACAGTTATTACTTTTACTTTTTGTATCACTTGACCCTCCCTTTTAGATTGTAAGCTCTAATGAACAGGGTCCTCTTATTCCTCCTGTATTGAATTGTATTGTAACTGCACTGTCTGCCCTCATGTTGTAAAGTGCTCTGCAAACTGTTGGTACAATATAAATCCTGTATAATAATAAATAATAATAATGAGTATTTCTGATGTTTGAAGCACTTATTATTGCACAGAGATTTTCCAGCTTGTTGAAAGGAGGGAAATACAGTGTTCATGCACACAATACCACTTCTGCTGAATTTCTAGCTAAATTGCCACAAGTCTTGTTGTTGGAGAGGTCTCCCTATTTGTCCTTCTCAGTAAGACTCTTGCTCTATGATTAGCATAACAAAATTTGTGAATTTAATACATTTTTAACTTTTTTCTCATACCTATAAAAACAGTGACACAATCATAACAGTAAAATGAATGCTGTTGACATAACGGTTATGTATCTTTTATTTTCAGGGTGATAAATGCAGGGAAGAGCACACACAATGAAGATCAAGCAAGTTGTGAAGTGATGTTTCTGAAGAAGAAAGCTGGAATCCAGTCCACCCCAAACAAGTCTTCGTCAAACAAGCGACGATCATCACTACCTAACGGGGAAGGCTTACAGCTAAGAGAAAACCCAGTAAGTGCCTTTTTTGTTCTTATTACAAGTGTTAAAGTATGCATCCACTAAATCAGTTATTTTAAGTGCCACTTGCAGATAGTCCTATGCCATGGAGGTATGAGTGATCAGTTAACTCCAGCAGTTTTAATCAGGACTTCTATGAATTAATTTTACCCTGAAGTGCTCAGATCATTATATATCCAAGGACCATTTCATATGTCCATACATTTTTTCCATCCCATGTGAGACACATGCTTAGATGCTTGTAACAAGCCATCACATCAAAAACACAAGACTCCAGACATTTGCTTCAGCTGCTCTATACAACAGGGGCCTACTCTAGTAGTGGGGGGGACCCCTTTTGAGGTAATATACCTGTTATGGTCTAGTTTGACATGTTAAAGTTACTGCCAACATGGGACAGAGGACCAGATCAGTCAGTTCAAACTGGGATTTAGGGTGGAGTCCCGAAAGGCAAGCATGTCCCCAATCAGTTTAGTGGTATTTCTGTTAAGGTGGGTCACACTTGTACCTAAGGTGGGAACTGACCAGCGATCTGCAAGTTCCTTATGAAAGGGAAGTTCTGACACTCTCAGGCAATGTCTAGGACTCTAGAGTGTTTTCAGTCAACATAGAAGAGTGACTCAAATAACAGCTCTAGTGGAAAGGTCTTTGTAGGTGTAGGACCTCCAAATGATCCAAGGACTGGCAGAGCAGTCTGATCCTCCAGGTGCAGGGTAATACGCACTGCATCACTAAGTCAATTGAGTCAATAGCCAAAGACTGCGCTGCCTCAAAAACTACATCTTCAGAGACAGACTGTTGAACTCTCAATGTGTATCAGAGATAGTAACGGGCCCCAGCTTCATTTCAAGGCTCTGGAGCATCAGGCACAGACTGGAGGGCATAGAATTAGAGTGTGCTTAGAGCCTCTGAGGGAAGAATGCACCAGTAGCTGAGCACAAATAGATAAGAAGTCCTGAGTGAACATGGAGGTCACTGTGGACATGGAGGAGGTCTCAACCTCACCCAACAGAGTTGAAGACTCCGATGGTGGCAACCCTATAACAGGGTCCCAGGTTCTGGCTTTCAAGTGTCTGAGGATACTGGGTAAGTGCCCGCAGAAACATTACAGTAGTATAGGCTATCATGGCAGCTAGACTGTCCTCTGTGTGTTTTAGTGAAGATATGTTGCATCTGCATAGTGGTAATGCAACTAGGCCCAATGTGAGGCAACATCTCGGGTATTCACGAACCAGGGCAGATAGTGCTGATGAGGGCTTCAGGCAGCAGGTGGTGACCAAGTGACTTTAGGCAAGCAGTGGAAACAGACCAGAGATCCACGTGGTGCTTCGAAAGCAGGAAAGACAATGGGACTGTGCTTCCTTGAGGCTGAATGGCAGGGAAAGGATTTGCGGGGCTTTACCCAGTGGATGTCATCAATGCACAGCCCGTCAGCCTTAATGATTACCCCACAGTAAAACCAGCAATGATGGTTCAAACACTGAGGTAGCTCCCAGTGTTTTAGCCCAACAGACTTCACTCATAGATACTTTAGAGTTAGGTTCTGGACCTAGAAAGCACTCTGCAGCTAATTAACATAGTAGGCTATGGTCTGGAAAGCCCAGTGCCCAAAGGTCACATTGCAGACTAGCCTGCACGTTAAGTCCAGCAGTCTCCAAAGCTTGTGCTAAGGAAAAGCTAATCGAAATAGCTGCTTTATAGAGACCATCTCAAGTATCAATGTTGCAAGGAATGCCACAAAGCAAGGAAGACCAACAAAAAATTGAATTTTATGATGAAAAAACCTCCAGCCTCTTAGGACACTATCCAAAAGCAAAGGCATGCTGCGTAAAGGAGGAGTTTCGAGGGTTGTTTTATAAATTTTTTTCTATGTTTGCCAGTATCCAAACCTGTAGTTGGCTGTATGATCAGATTGTTTACTTACTAATTCCTGTGTCCCTCCATGGATCAGAAAGAAAAGTGTGTTGAGGCACCTGCGTTTATTTCTTGATACCATTAAAATTTCTATTACCTGATTACAGTTAGTCTTTATACTCCCTTTTAATACCCATATTTTTCACAAATGTTTAAGTATTATGCAGCTAGAAATTTACAGAACTTTGTTCTTTTTTAACATTATAACAAGTGAAATATACATTGAACAGGTATACTGAAATGGCCTTTTTTTCTATGGTACAAAACTGGGACTTCTATTTTGGATTTTATTTCCAGGTGACCTCAGTCCTCTTCCATAAAACCTTTGCAACATATTTTATTTTGAATGTTACTGAAAATATCTGTTTCCTGTAGTCCAAGTATTTAAGTCATTCTTTGGAATGAATATCATATGTTTCATTACTGTACATTACTCTCAACGGCTTTAATTTCAGATGTTTCAGATGTGATAATGTTAGATTATCTTGCCTTGTCCTGCTCCAAAGCCTAAATCATAATGATATAGCTCAGTGTGTCAGTGTCAAGAAAATGATTGGTTCCAGTAAGCGGTTTCATCCCTACACTTACGGTGCCTGCCTTTCAAAAACAAATTAACTGATAAAGAACATAGATGAAATGGCATTTTTTTTTAGCTGTTGAAGCATGCAGCAATATGACAAACCCATAACACAGGAAATTGAGATAGGATCATTTTGTTCATAGTGATTAGCTAAAATGTTAGAACTGAGCACCCTTTTATTATGTTTTCTGATTTTATAATAGAATATTTCTGGGTTACTCAGTTCTAAGAATTATGGATGAACATTATACAGATAAACCATTGTGCTTTAAACGCTAAAAAAGAAGTACATAAATACATTTTGTTGCCACCTGTTGATCTTCCACCACCATACTTTTAGTATTCTTTGCCTGTACTGCAGGCATACGCTCCATTTGGGGTAGAGTCTTTACAGGTAAATTCCAGATAGATATAAAAGACACAAATTAATGAAACTCTGTTTTAATTAATAATTTAAGGTGGGTGTACTCTAAGTACCACGTCCCTAATACATAATTTAAGACTATATTCTCCCAATAGGATTTTCAAGGCACTATTCACTAGAACTTATTATAAAAACTTTTTAACATTGACGTAAAGTCGTATGGATTTAAATACTTAAGATACTTGTTTTTGTACAACAATAAAAATCTTAAAAAGTTCTTATAATAAGTTGTGGTAATAGTGCCTTGAAAGTCCTATTGGGGGAATTAATTATTTTTAGCTCTGTTTTAATTAATACATTATTAATTACATTTTGTTAAAGACAAACAGTTTAAGTACTTTAATTTGACCTGGCATTAGCGTCTTGCAGTCAATGTGCAACAGAGCTTAGACTAGAAGAGGGAGAAGCAGCACATGGAGCCAATCAGCTGTTCTGTAGTGTTCATGTGCTAGCAAGGGACGTGTTAATAGGAGGAAAAAGCAAAGTAATAGACACGCTTATGAGTCTGCTGCTTTTTCTTTCTCTGTCCAGTAGCAAAGAGGTTGGACTCAAAACATAAGCTTTGCAGAACTGGTTCTGACATGGAAGAGAAAGTTGTACAATGGATAGTACATTAATTACAGTAAAGAATATGTCACTAAAAGTGGTTCAAGATAAAAAGACAGCCTGCAATTATGCCATTACCACACTGTTGTGGTACTAGAAGTAACATATTATGTAGAGGCTTTCTTGATCATTGTACCCCTCCTCTGTTTTCGTACGTGCAATTGTAGGTGGTAAGTGCTTTCCGTAGGCAATAAATGTGAGAATTAGGCTGGCTTTTATAACTTAAAGTGAAACTTCACCTCTCTGCCCCCCCCCCCCCCCCCCCCGCCACATTTGGCATGTAATTTGTTTGGGGGGAGCTGCTACGCAGTTTTGACAGGTATCTGCTCCCACTTCTGCTCGGATCACCTAGGTGATCCAAATGGAAGTTTTTTTCCCCCCACAGTCTTCTGGAACATGACACAGGTCCCAGAAGACTGTGGGGACCATTCACAATGTGCAGCTCATCTGGTACATTGGGCAGCAGGATGTGAAGCTGCAAGCAGCACAGCCAGCTGCCCACAGTTAAGATGCTGACACTGTAATCCCGAAGGCTAGTGAAGAACTAGCCCAGGTGAGTGCAAGAACTACCCAGGAGTCAGAGAACCACAGGCACCACATCCCCATAGAAACGATATCATATATAGAAAAAGAGGAATGGGAATTTTCTAGGATGCCAAAAACACTTGCACTTAAAATTAGTAATTTTACTGTAAGACATTAAAACATTTCCAGATAGGAAACAAATAAAACCACCATAACATATCCAAGCGGTTACAATCACATTCAGCTCTACATCTTTTGCCAGACTTCTGGCTTCTTCAGGAGACTTATGAATACTGCAACATGTCACTACAAAGAGAAAACCGCATTTGTCAATAAGTAATAATATAAAATGTATATACATATATAAGGAACAATCAGCACATATATTTGTACATGTTCTATGTAAAATTTACAACAAATAATTCAGAAGTCACTTGGAGGGTATATCTTACGCAGGGCTAGGTGAACATGCCAGATATTGTTAAGCAAAAACTAACAAGAAGGCAAAGGTAGATCAAATCAGATCCCACACCCACTGGCTCCTGGTTCAAATTGGGCATTAGATGGCCACAGGAGCGGAAAAACCCCCTTAATATGTGGAATAACCTAAAATAATCGCATATAAACCACACATTAATAGAGATACTCAAAAACATGTATTGTATGAAAGTAGGACCAAGCTTAATATCAGATACCTATCCCAGTGCTTAATCCCAATGAAAACTATAAATGACCATAGAAAATACGTTGGAATCCATACGCCCAATCAGTACACATAAGGAGCAACATTTTCAATCCAAACAGATAAAGGCACTCGGAAGGGAAAAGAAATTCCCTGCACTCCCATATGGAAAGTGAAAGAAAAGAGATGCAACAAGGTGAAAACCAGGGTCACCCACCATACCGTAACAAACCAATCTCAATTGCCAACTAAATTAGCCGAAGTCTCACCAATGTATAGTGTAGTGCCAAACTGACAAGCTACCATTCACCTGAGCAGGAAAGTCGCAGCAAGTACACTGCCGCATGTGGGGATTAAAAACCCCTGCCGTCCCACCAGTGCGTGACGCTAAATGCGGGATGTGAATGCAAATGCGGCACTCTCACGCATGCGCGATCCCATTGGAGCAGAAGTGACATCACGCGCAAGTACAACGTACATCAGTGCCATCTTGGAAATTCCCCCAACCACAGAAACTAGGTGAGGATGGCGCTGGATCCCTGGACAGATAAGTGTCCTGTTATTAAAAGTCAGCAGCTACAGGAGTAGAGTCAAGAACTTCTTTAATGCCTATCTACTCATTTATTGCGCTTGTTTCTTTTCAGGAAGCGGATGGAATAACCTTTCAATATTGGGCCCTGTTTGATGGACATGCAGGTGCTGGAGCAGCTGTTGTAGCATCAAAGCTTCTGCATCACCACATCACAGATCAGCTACAGGACATTGTAGAAATCCTAAAGAACTCAGCAGTTTTACCTCCTACATGTCTAGGAGAGGATCCAGAAACCACGTCCAGTAATAGCAGGACTCTGACCAGAGCTGCCTCATTACGCGGGGCCGCCGGTGCACCAGGCTCACCAAGCACACCTCCAACACGCTTCTTCACAGAGAAAAAGGTTCAACATGAGAGTCTGATCGTCGGAGCACTTGAAAATGCCTTTAAGGAAATGGTAAGAACATTTAAAGCTTAGTATATAGGTTTCTGTTCATAGATCTCCATATCCATAATACAGATAACTATAAAAAGTAAAGCGATATCATTTTGCTGGATAATTGAAAAAGTTTCAAATGCAAGCTTTGAAAAACTCATTGAGGTTTAGACTATAAAGTTACTTGTAAAGTTCACTGACCTACATCAATCAGAGACTATCATTCACTGTTCTAACAGCTCATTACTGATAAAAACTGAAGCCTGGTTGCTAAACATTAGGAGGCTTTTAAGACGTCTCTTCTATATTTTGTTATTGACTTCATTGTTTAACCACTTGCCCTCCAGAGGATTTACCCCCCCCCCCCCCCCCCCTTCCTGGCCATTTTTTGCGATACGGTGCTTCGTCACTTTAACTGACAATTGTGCAGTCATGAAACACTGCACCCAAATGAAATTTATGTCCTTTTATTCCAACAAATGGAGCTCTCTTTCGGTGGTATTTGATCACCTCTGCGTTTTTTTATTTTTTGCACTATAAACAAAAAATATCTCCAATTTTGAGAAAAAAAACAATATTTTTGAATATTTACTATTAAACAAAATCAGATTGCGTTATAAATTTAGGCCAACGTACTCTGCTACATGTCTTTGCTAAAAAAAATCCCAATATGTGTAAATTAATTGGTTTATGTGAAAGTTATAGCATCTACAAATGGTGGTATATATACTGGAATTTTTTATTTATTTTCTTTTTTAATACTAGTAATGGCGGCGATCAGCGACTTATTGCAGGACTGTGGCCGGCATTCTAACACTGGGGGTGGAGCTGACTAACTGTCGCTGACATCCTCAGTGACACTAATACAGTGATCAGTGCTAATAAAAAGCACTGACACTGTACTAATGACACTGGGCAGGAAGGGGGGTAACATCTAGGGTGATCAAAGGGTTAACTGTGTGCTGTTTTACAGTGTGCTGTGTGTGTGCTTTACTGCGTCTGCACATTACTTTGTATTGCTGCTATGCAGAGCAATACAAAGCAATGTGCAGGAGCTGACAGGGGAGAGATCTGTAATGTTTACATACAGGTCTCTCTCCCGTCAGTGATACTCGGCGATCACCAGGTGCCAGCGGAGAATCTTTGGCCGGGACCCGGTAATCGACAGCTGAGGCCGCCAATGGCAGCGCAGGCAGGGCGCGCGCCCCCTACCCAGAAATGCAAAATCTCGTATATACTTGATTTTGCACAGCCCTGCTGCCCTGTAGCAGTATTTCTGCTATAGGGTGGTGGGAAAGTGGTTAAAATTATGCTGATATAACTATTTGAGACAGCACAGTGTTATTTTTTTTGTAAAGCTGAGCTTATATTTTAAGCAAACTGAGTGCATGATGTCAGACATACTGACAAATATATTTTGAGTTGTTTTTTTTTGTTTTGTTTTTTTAATTGTTCAGTTTGTGTTTGACTATGGCATTGAACTTAATTTTGTGCTTTGGCAAATAGTTATTTATCACCACCCAGCTTACTTTAATGGAGTTCTGGAGACATTGTGGATCTGCATCCTAATCACTAGGGTTGAGTGACTGTGTATGGGTTTGGTTCATGGGGCATTTCTCATACACATGGTACAGTGCAAAAATTGCAAACATAAGCCCTAATATCATTGAAGTCTTGGGGGGTAGGGGGGGGGAATCAAATCCAGCTCTATTTAAGGCTTAACGTAAGAAATTGTCAAACAAATAGCATTGGGAGATGGACATTGCCATGGGGGGGCATCTTCCAATGGAAACAATGTCTTAAAAATACCATACAGCAAGGAGAGGGCCCTCATTTTAATATGACTTTGAGGGCAACATGGAAAGAACACCATTGCTTCGAATTTTATGCTTGGGAGATATCTTTAGTTTGTATGTGCTGGTTTGTGGGGTTACGCGACAGTAGGATTTTCATGGACAGTGTTGGCAACACCCTATTCTGGCATCCATTTTTTTGCATGTGCAGTTAATTTTTTTTTTCATATATTTACATTCTGGCTTGGCTTAAATACAGCAGCAGCGCCCAATTTGATTCATTTCCATCTAAAAAAGGTTTTACATGCAAAACCTGATTTTGTTATGCAAAGAATAGGCCTGAATTGACCAGTAGAAGTAGCTGCCATAACAGATCTAACCAAAAAAAATATTTTATGCTGAACTGCATGTAAGTAAATTAACCAATGACACAATGGTTTAATAGTCTAGCTTGTAGAGTTATTTTTTTTCGCTGTATCACATGGCATTGTCCATGCATTTTAAAACCACAACCCTACATTTTGCAAACCTCCTCCCATCCCTGTATTCCCAATTATCACAAAAAAATTCAAACTATAGTCTTCAGGAATGTGTTTTGGTAGAAATTGACTTGCATCAAGACAGTACAGAAGCACTTCAATATGTAACTAATCGAGTTGTGCAGTGTGGGCCTTTTTTTCACATATCTGCTGCCAACAGCACCATTGCAGTCTGCAGCATCTGCCTGCAGTGTATCAGCCATGGTAAAAGGCAGTAGCAGCCATTTGGGTACCACATATAAATACACAACACTGCACCAAAGAGCTCAGTGTAAGCAGGACCACAATGAGACAAGCTGGCAGCAAAAAGCACACATCTCCTTCCCAAGGGTTCATAGTACACACTTCTCTTTCATAATGCTGCTAAATCCACCCTTTTCCTCCTATTTAAGTGTGCATGGCAGCTAATGCACACTTTATTTAACCTCCTCTTCGAGGGCACAGAAAACACAATTTTTACTCATGCGTCCTTTTCCTCCCATTCCTGCCCAAAAGAGTACAAAGTAGCCACATTTTTTTTCTGTGCTGCTCATGCCCACTTTTCCTTCTCCTCAAGGGCACACAACAGCCATCTTTTTTCTGTGCTGCTTATTGCCCTCTCCCTCCCTCCTCTAGAGCACTTAGTGAAAGGGTTAAATGCAAATTTTTCTTGCACTCCTTTTTTTTTTCATGTCAAACATTTAACAAAAAAAAAAAAAAAAAAAGCTTGTACAGTCTGTCGATGTCAATGTATGCTCTCTCATCGCCCCAAGTGTTTATTTTTCTGTTTTTTTGGTGCCTCAGTGCACAAACGCTGCTAAGTGTGCAAGTTCTTACTTTAACCATCCAGCTGTCCTTGTTTTCTCCTTTTGTATGCCTCCTTTGCCATTTTTTTGGAACTAAAATATGACAGATCTGAAGTAGTCTGTTATAAATGGACATAAGTCTGTATACATCCAGCCACCCATAGATCTAACATGGGTCCAGAAAACTCCAAATTTTATGTACAACAAAAAATTGAACAGACAAGGATGTCACAAAAGTGCCATCCTTTCTGTTCTGCTGCTATTCAGCGGAGGATCTGTTTACCAATCCCCTACTGATCAGACTATTAGTTGTAGTTCAGTATATGCAATCTTATATTGTTGTGATAAGTGAAACAAATGAATCTGGGCTTTTGACAATGTATAGCATTACATGAGATTTATTAGACTTTTTACTAGGTTTAAAACGTGTATTTTAGAGGAAGCTTATACTGAAAGAAATAAGACGTTGCCATTGCTGAGTTCATCTCAGAAAGTACAGTGGATCAGCATGGCAACCATTATTTAGTGTTTTCCTAAGAAAAAAAAAATCAGGATTGAAGGTACTTATTTAAGTAAAGGTGTCCCTTATGTGTGTAGGGTGACTTCATCATTTCTAGTGTAGAGTGCATTTTTAAAGATGGCCAGCAGGTGGCAATGCTGTTTCAAGGATCACAAATGATCATACATTATATTTGGTTTACACTGTACTATGCAAGCTGTGATTTTGGAACCTGCATGTTGGAGGGTTTTTTTTTTCTGTTCAAAACTAATAACAGTGGTACAGGTTTAATGAGTCATAACCCTAAACTCATCTATTACTGTTTTGCTAATTTGTAGTTTCCTTAAGTTATTTTAAAAAATATATATATTTATATTCTGTATAATGTTGTGGTGTGACAATTGTTCTGAAAGTGTGTGCCTATAAGAACTTAGCTAGGCATGTTGCAACACTAAATATAAAAGAAAAGGAAAAATTTTATATATATATATATATATATATATATATATATATATATATATACACACGCACTATATTTTCAAAAGTATTGGGACGTCTTCCTTTGCACGCACATGAACTTTAATGTCATCCTAGCTTTAGTGAATAGGGTTCAATATTGAGTTGGCCCACCCTTTGCATGTATAACAGCTTCAATTCTTCTGGGAAGGCTGTCCACAAGGTTTAGGAGTGTGTGTCTATGGGAATGTTTGACCATTCTTCTAGAAGCACATTTGTGAGGTCAGGCACTGATGTCAGACGAGAAGGCCTGGCTCGTAGCCTTCGCTCTAATTCATCCCAAAGGTGTTATGTCAGGTTGAGGTCAGGACTCTGTGCAGGCCATTCAAGTTCCTCCACCCCAAACTCACTCATCCGTGTCTTTATGGACTTTGCTTTGTGCACTGGTGTGCAGTCATGTTGGAACAGGAAGGGGCCATCTCCAAACTGTTCCCACAAAGTTGGGAGCATGAAATTGTCCAAAATGTCTTGGTATGCTGACACCTTAAGAGTTCCCTTCACTGGAACTAAGAAGCCAAGCCCAACCCCTGAAAATCGATCCCACACCATAATCCTCCCCTCCACCAAACTTTACTTTTGGTACAATGCAGTCAGGCAAGAACTGTACTCCTGGCAACTACCAAACCCAGACACGCCCATCGGATTGGCAGACAGGGATGTGTGATTGGTTACTCCAGAGAACACGTCTCCACTGCTCTATAGTCCAGTTACACCACTGCATCCAACACTTTGCCTTGCTTTCCATGAAGCTTTCCATACGCACTGTTGTTGTGCTAATCTGAAGGCCACACGAAGTTTGGAGGTCTTTAACTGTTGATTCTGCAGACACTTGGCAACTTCTGCACACTGTGCTCTTCAGGCATGCGCTGACCCTGCTCTGTCATTTTAC